CTGCGGTGGGTGGAAAGAAGGTAGGACCCACCCCTCGGTGAGGGAGCACACAGAACACCCCACACCGCCTTCAGAGCCCCGTGCCCACCTCTGAGGATCGCAGGGCCCACCCCCTGCTCCAGAGGACAGAGATCGGAGCAGCCACGTCTCACGTTGGCTTTAGGCAGGTGGATACACTCGGAGGACGCTTCTTGTAAGCTCATGCAGGCAAAAGGAAGCTGTGGGCCCGGCCATCAGGATAGAAAGCTCGGAAGCAAGCAAGCTGTGGTTTTGTAGATTTGATTGGGAAATTCATTCATTCTTGTGGCTAAACATCAGTAAAGAAAAATGATCAAGTGGTGCTAGAAATCCAGGGGGAAGAATGCTAACTCATGGACTCTTGCATGGACGGGAGGCTGAAAATGGGAACGTTCCATCTGGATGAAAAGAATTTGGTTTCTTCCAGTGGAAACATCGAGTTTGCAGGCTTTTAGCTTTTACCGTGTTTTTAGGGCAAAGGTACCTTTAAGAATTCATCCTGCTCCATTTCAAGGTGCCTCTTGGTGTCGTGTTGTTGTGTTTTTAAACGTGACCTTGAACTTGTACACAGGAGGCATGAATAGGCCAGCCCATACTACATGCTTCTGCAATGTGTTTCCATGAGCCAACGGCAAATTTAATAACAACACAGAAATCAGACAGTGGGGAGATCCATGTGAGGGCAATGGATTGATCTTACATAGCTGAGCCTCCTGCCTTCTGCCTTCTTGAGAAACCAATCACATCTTACTGTAACTTTCGCAACGTCGCATTTCCCCTGTAGCTAGCCTCTGGTCCAGGTCATTTAGCAAGCGGGTATTTAGGAGGGATTATTTAGGCGACTGTCCTGTTGTGTAAGAATCAACTGCTTTAAAGAAAAGAACAAAGTTCATAAAACAGCCTCATTTCTGCAAGTCCTTTCATGAGGAATCATTTTATTACCCCCAACGACTCGAAGCATGCTTCCCTCGATGGGCTATTGCCAAGGCCTCGTGCTGGCTGCGGGCCTTGCCGGATTTAGAAGTGAATTCAGGGTGCGGCCCTGCCCTGGTCTCCCCGGGGGCTCCTGCTGCTGCAGGCAGCCCTTCAGCCTCAGATCTGGGCTCCAGCTGCTTACTAGAAGGTTCTTTTGGAACTGATCCCAGGTGGGGATTTTTAAAAGATGATCCATTTTCAAGCTGGATACTTGAATATCAAGCTGGATACTTAAGCATGTCTAGAGCAAGACAAGCCGGAACGAGTCAAGATCCAAAACCTGGTTATAAAATTTAAGGGAGAAACTAGGTTTCAATAACCCTTCCCATCCCATTCGAAGTTTCCAACCAGGCTCCCGGAAAGATGACAGACAGAAAAATACCTACCTAACGCTGACGTTTTAAAAGTTTATGTATTGGGTCAGATAGTGTTTGCAGTGCATTTGTCCGACTTCCTGACTTTTGGAGGAGAACCTGGAAGGACTGGTCACCGGAGAGGAGCACGGCCCAAGTGGGCCCACTGGCGTCCCTGGGAGAGCGTTAGAGATGCCGATCTTGCGCCTTCCTCTGGATGTGTGGAGTCAGAGCCCACGCTTTAACAAGATCCCTGGCGATTGTTTTGCATACTGACATTAGAGAAGTATGGCTTTATTGTGTCCGTTTTCATTTTTCTCCCTTTTTGGACTAGGGCAGCCATGTCCTGAGAGAAGATTTGCTGGATGAGCTGCAGTGATTTGCTGAATGGGCTGCAGTGTGTTGCTCTACCAGCTGCACGCTTGCTGTCCTCAGGGACTGATGATATCCCATAACCAGCTGCGCCGAAGGCTCCCTTACCCACGCAGACTGTTCCTAGGAAGTTGTCTTTAAACAAAACCACACCATCCACACCCAAGCTGTGTGTGCGACTGTGCGGAGTGAAGCGGACAAGCTCCTGACTTTTATCAAAGAAAACCTACGGGGAATGTTCCCTTTTGCCACTAGGTGGAAATAGAGCGATTCTGAGCATATTTTTAGGGACCTGGGGCATGGACCTAAGAAATCAGTTGGTGTAATTCCTAACATCTTCATTTCACAGGCAAGAAAACTCAGGCTCGGTGATATTAAGTAAAACGGCATCTTCTTATAAATGGAAGCTTTCTAGAGAGACCAGGGGAAGATTTGCTGGCAATCCCTGATTTCCAACCGCTCTCACCCAAAGAGAATGCGTTCCTGTCCTGCAGCGGGAAGTAAGGCAGGGCCTGGCACCCAGGTGCCCCGGGCTGTGTGTGAGGACAGGCAGAACACTGGGCGGCTCCTTGGGCCCGGGGTTGCGATGCAATTCATCTCAGTCAGGTGACAATGCTCTCCCTTTCCCCAAAGAAGAGACACTCAGCATCCCCTCAGCCATGCGGGACAGCCACCTGCTTTGTCTTCACATGTTGTGCTCTTATGCCTCACACGGGGCTCAAGGTGAGTGGCCTGGACCAGGACTCGGTTAACAGGTCAAGGAAGTGCTGGCTGTTTTTCGGAGCTTGACATCCACTGTCATTGCTCTTAAGGAAGAAAGGGAGCCGAAACCGGTTTGGCTCAATGGATAGAGCATCGGCTTGGGGACTGAAGGGTCCCGGGTTCGATTCCGGTCAAGGGCATGTACCTTGGTTGTGGGCACATCCCCACTGGGGGGTGTGCAGGAGGCAGCTGATCGATGATTCTCTCTCATCGATGTTTCTAACTATCTCTCTCCCTTCCTCTCTGTACAAAAATCAATAAAAATATATTTTTTAAAGATATTTAAAAAAAAAAAAAAAAAGGGGAAGAAAGGGAACCGGAGTTGGCATGAGACAGGATCTGCCCCCGGTGTTGCTGGGCGCGGGGCCCACAGAGGCAAAGCCTCCCAGGCCCTCTGTCCCAGGGCGACACTCACAGGCATGTTGGCCTCTATGTTTGTTTGTTGGTGTGTTTTTACCACAAGAGGATTATTTCCACGTATCACACCAAAAAGTGTGTTTAAAAGTTCATTTTCAGGTTATGCCTCTGGCTTAAAAACTATTTCTTAGGCACCTGAATATTTAGTATTTTAGTGACATTTCCCTTTTGGTATTTCTGGGACATGATGGGTTATGGGTCTTTAAATTTTAGTATTTCAGTGCTGAGTCCTGGCTGTTATTACCTTACTAGAGGCCCAGTGCACAAAATTCATGCATGGGGGTGGGGAGTTCCCCCAGCCCAACCTGCACCCTCTCCAATCCAGGACATCCCTCTTACAATCCTGGACCGCTGGATCCTAACCAGTCACTTTCCTGGTCGGCCCTAATTGCCTCTGCATGCTGACCTGATTGCTCTTAACTGCCCCTCTGTGCTGGCCAGATTGCCCCCAACTGCCTCCTCCCTCCCAGCCTGGTGGCTCCTAACTGCCTCCTTCCCCCCTCCCCCAGCCTGGTCACCCCATGTAGCCTGTTATTCAGTGTTTGGTCATCCCTCACTAATCCTCCCGCTGGCCTGGTCACCCCACGCAACCTGCAGTGGTTTGGTCTTCCTCATTATCACTAACCCCCCTGCTGGCCTGGTCATAGGTAGCCATCTTGTGAGGGCGTGAGGGTTAATTTGCATACTATCTCTTTATTATATAGGATTCTATACAAAATCAGGTAAAATGTTGGATGGGCACATTAAGAATGTAACTACAAGCCCCCAGTGGCTGCCTGTGTGTGTGTGTGTGTGGTGGAGGGAGAGGGGCAGCCACTATCCCCCAGGTATCTGGAAGCCAGTTCTAGCAACACTGAGCAATGACCCTCCGCTGCCCTCAGAGCAGCAGAGCACAGCCCTGGGGTGACCTAAACTTAGGGCAGGGACTTAAAATGAAAGGGAGTCCTGGGAGGGCAGAAAATGCCCTGAGGCGTGCTGGGAGATGACGGGGCCAGAGATGACGGGGCCAGGGGCTGCGGCCAGAGGCCGCCTGGTGTGGTCCTACCTCAGGGGATCTGCGGTGAGGACTAGACAGGGGTTCGGCCCTGCACTCCCCTAGCCTTCCCTGCCTTATTTCCTCTTTAAAAAAACGGCGATAACACTTGTCAGCAAAACCCGGGCGGAGAGGAGCGTTCCTGGCCGCAAAGTGCCTGGGACCAAATGTCCATCAAGGAGGTGGCAGCTCCTCACCTGACCCACCTTCCCACGGGGACCGGGGGCAGCTCCGGGACACGCACCGTGAGAAGCATGACTTCTCTGCGGACCCAGGGTAACGCGGGGGCCGCGGGGAGGAGAGGCCGGGTGGACGCCTCCGGGCTGAGAAGGAACTGAGGGCTCTCTTGTCTGGGAACACGCACTAAGGAAACATCCCCGCGTGGGGACATGGAATTGCAACCGCAGGCACTTAAGCTAAAACTTCCTACGGGGACACCTCCGCCCTGCCGCACCTTCTGACAAATCGCTAGCTCACTCAGGTCTGTCCCCACCTGGAGGTGCTGAGTGGGCCGGCGGCCTGCGGGCGGGGCAGGTGCTCAGGGGGGTGGCCTGAGGGCTGTGCAGTGACCGGGAGCCCAGAGTAGCCAGGCAAATCATCTCTCAGTCAGTCCATCCGGCCCAAACGGCTGAGCGATCATCCCTTGCAGCGCCCCAGCGGGGAGGGAGGGCTCCTTCGCGCGTTGGGTGCTTTAAACGGAAGGGGACTTGGCGGGGAGACTTGGCCCGGGAGAGGCGGGCGCCCTCCGGCTCCGGGGTGAAGGGAGCGGGAACCTCCGGGGGCACGTGGGGCGCGCCGGGCGGGGCCGCGCCTGCAGGCGCCGCGGGCGGAGCCGGCTCGGGGGCAGGTGGAGCCGGTCCGCACCTTCCGACCCGAGCGCGGGGGCGTGGCGGGGCGTGGCCTGGGTGAGGCGGGGGCGTGGCATGGGCGAGGAGCCCTCCCATTGGCCCTTCGGCGCCGCCCCGCCCCGCGCCTCGGTATAAAGCGGCCGCGCTCCCCGCCGGCTCCCGCCACGCTCCATCCCCGCACTCGCTCCGCTCCGCGCCCAGCCCGCACGACTCCGCGCCACCATGGCCTCCATCCAGCAGCTGGTCGGGAGATGGCGCTTGGTAGAGAGCAAAGGCTTCGACGAGTACATGAAGGAGCTAGGTGAGGACGGGTCGGCGGGTCCGCGGCGAGGCGTGCGAGTGTGATTGTGAACGTGTGTCAGTGTGGGGGGGTGTGTACGCGTGTGTACGCGTGCTCGTCTGTCCGGGGTCCCCCTCGGCGCTCCGGGCAGCCCTCCCTCCCGCCCGCCCGCCCGCAGCCCCACCACGCGGCCCGGTCCCCGCTGCCTGCACCACGCGGCCCGCCGCCGCCGAGAGGAGTGGGCGTGCGCGCCGCGGTCCCCGGAGTCCGGGGATGTCCCGCCGCCTGGGGCACCCCGCTCGGCTACGTACCCTTTTCCGTTATTATTATTATCATTATTTTTAATCCCCACCACTAATCCCTCTCCTGCCACCCTCCTGGTTCGCCCCATAGCGGCTGCACCCACTGCCCCTTCCCCACCCTTCGCTACTGTGCCGCATCCTTTGTTCACCCAAGGCGCGCCGGTCCCTCCCTCTTCCCCCCGCTGGCGCCTGGAGAAGGTCTGAACCCCGATACCGCCCCAGCTCCCCCTCCCAGCCCCGGCTCTGCGTGGCGCAGCTCCCTGGGGCATGCATGGGGCATCCTTCCCTCCGACCCCAGAGGCGTGGCGCCGGCAGTGCTGACCTCGGGTGGCGATGCGTGTCTGAGGCCCCTGAGGGCGGGTGGCCAGACGTGCTGAGGGCGGCCGGGCACTGCTGCTTGTGGAGGGCGATGGTTTTTGTCGGGAAAGCGCTGCGACTCCCCACCGGCCTGCCGATGGGCGTGGCCCTGCAGAAGGCCCCAGACTCCTTAAAGCCTAAGAATGGGTGCCTGGGAGAAGGTTCTAGTTCACTGTCTCAAACTGAATAATCCTGCCCTTTCCTAAGGCAGTGATGAGGGTTGAACGCTGGTGGAGACACTGGGGAGACAAGCAAACAAACATGGATCTTTGTCACAGCCCGCGGGAAGAGAGATGCAGTGGCGGAGCCTGGGCCTGTCTGCCGGGGCTGCCAGCCCTGAGACCACTTCGGGATGGGGAGGGCTTCCGAGCCCCGGTGACCGGTGACCGGTGACCGGTGACCAATGACCGTCCCTGCGGCCTCCAGAAGCTCCCTCCGCAGTGTCTCTGCAGGACAGTGTGCGGCTGTGTCCATGGGGATGAGCGCACGGAGGGGGCTGGAGGGAAACCACAGGCCCCTCGTAAACCCAGATCAAGGTGACCTGGGCACCGCACTCAGACCCAAGAAATACCCCATCAGTGTGCACTGTCTGAGGGCCACGCATCCTCTGTCCATTGGAAGCCAATGTGTTTCCGAGGTTCTGGAGGCACAGGGTTGCCACACCGGTTCACTGGGATGCAGTGAAGGTGTGGGGGGAGCAGAGCCCTGCAGGAGTCCAAATAAGAATGGAGAGAACTCAGCCCGAGCACAGGGCACCACGTGTGCCCGCAGCCAGGGGGCTCCCGGGACAGTTCAGGCCCCGCAGAGTGTCCGTCATCAAGCCCACGTTTCTGCGCAGGTTATTGTCTCCTCATCTGAAATAGGGCGGCGGTGCTGGTCTGAGTTTTTTGTAGACAAAGTACACTGGCTATAAATTAGATCTGATGCCGGTGTAGCAGTTGAGTTGCAGAGCTATGAGATGTTCTGTTTGAGGGTGAGGTTTTTCCATTTGTTACCACCTCGACGGTGCTGTTCTGCCTCTTACAACGTTGGCTGTTGGGGTATCCCGGCATCGGGTGCTGTTTGTGTGGTGTGTGGACCACGTGTCTGCCAGGGGCCTGTTCTGTGCCAGAGTCCTGGCACAGTAGGCCAGCCAAACTGAGGAAGTCGGTTTTACAAGTCTGGGTGCTTCCCGGGCGTTCCGGGGGCCATCAGCCACAGGGGCCACGAGCTGAGATTGGAGCCACACGGCCTGCATCGTGGCTCCCAGCTCAGTGCTTCCCAGCTGAGCGAGCTGGCGTGGATGGCTCCAGTGACTCAATTTGTCATCTGTAGCGCAGAGACGGTGCTATTGCCCTCACAGGGGTCTCCAGGCTTCTGTGAATCTGTGTGCGTCTGGTGCTAGCACGGAGTGAGCCCTGGGTCTGTGTTTACCATAGTCCTTGGAAGTAAGTGGAGATAACGCCAGCACAGGAGTTGCAATGAGCTCACAGCTTGCACTCTGTGAGCCGGAGCTCCGGTCCTCCTGACAGTGACTGTGATTGACGTTCACAGGTGTGGGGATGGCTCTGCGGAAAATGGGCGCCATGGCCAAGCCCGACTGTGTCATCTCTTCCGACGGCCAACACCTCACCATCAAAACCGAGAGCACGCTGAAGACCACCCAGTTCTCATGCAACCTGGGAGAGAAGTTTGAAGAGACTACAGCAGATGGCAGGAAAACTCAGGTCAGGCGTCGTGTACATGGTCCCAGAAGCTTCTGGAATGATAGATTGTTTGAGTAACATTCTCCCATTGACAGGCAGGAGCTGCTGAATAAAAGACATCTCCAGTTATTTTAATGACTTGAGTTAATAGACTAGTGTGAAAGGGCCGCAGCTTGGTCTGCTTTGTAAAACTAGTTGAAGGAGCATGAGCATCCGAGGGTCTCCTTATGTGTATCTAGGTTAACAAGCATCAGCTATATTATGAGTAACACGGGCTTGAAGCAGACCAGAGTGGAAAAGCTAAAAAAAATGTTGGTCGAGGAGATTATGTGTCATGGGAGCTGCCGGTAACATCCTCCGGGAAGTTAAAAAGTGCGCTTTGTCTCTGCAGACCGTCTGCAACTTTGTCAACGGCGCGCTGGTCCAGCACCAGGAGTGGGACGGGAAGGAGAGCACCATCACGCGGCGGCTGGAGGGCGGGAAGCTAGTGGTGGTAAGTGCTGCTCTGGCCTCTCGGGTGTCGCTTTTGCATTCATCGTTTGCAGAACTGTATGTAGCGGATCCTGAGCAGGGCAGCGAGGCCAGCAGGAAAGTGCACCAGGACAAGCTAAGCACTGAACTCTGAAAACACCAAGTCCTCTGTGGACAGGGAAGAGTGGTGACGGGCAGTGGTGTTGCCGGGCTGGGTCCAGTCCGGGCCCTGCTGTGACTGTCCAGCATCAGAGGCAGCACACCAAACCGCCCTCTGGGCCATACCTTTTCCATTTCTTTCTTTCTTTTTTTTTTTTTTTTTAATATATTTTATTTGATTTTGTACATAGAGGAAGGGAGAGAGATAGAGAGTTAGAAACATCGATGAGAGAGAGTCATTGACCAGCTGCCTCTTGCACACCCCCTACTGGGGATATGCCCGCAACCAAGGTACATGCCCTTGACCGGAATCGAACCCAGTTCCCAAGCCGATGCTCTATCCATTGAGCCAAACCGGTTTCGGCCCTTTTCCATTTCTTTAAGCAGGAACACTGCCCTGGCAGGGGGGACTCAGTCAGCTGGAGCATTGTCAGGCACATACCCAGATTAGGGGTTCAATCCCTGGTCAGAATGCACATGGTAGGCAGCCAATCAATGTTTCTCTCACATTGATGTTTCTCTCTACCCACCTCCCTTTTCCCCTCCCTAAAATCAATTTAAAAACACAACACACTTTAAAATGAGGAATACTGTTTGCAAGACCAAATAAGTAATTTAGATATTATAGATCAAGTATGTTTAGCAAAACACGTGCATATCTTAAGCAAAGTAACAGGTTCTAGCCTTTCAAACCCAGGAATCCTAACATATATGTTCATCTGTGAAACAGGTGACAGGTTTCATAGGATTCTGATTCTAGCACTTAACTTCCACCATTGCCCTAGGATGTAAGATCTAACTCTCCAATATCCTTCTCTCTCCCAGGAATGCGTCATGAACAATGTCAACTGCACTCGGGTCTACGAGAAAGTGGAGTAAAAATTCCATCGTCCTTCCAGGCGGGGATTGGCCACGAGGATAAACGAGCTCAGTTCAATGAGCAAATCTCCACGCCTTCTTCCCATCACTTGTTCAGTTATCACAACCATTTTACCTGCAGCTGTTTCTGAGTTGGTTTAATGAAGATCGACCATTTTGTTAGTAAATAAATGTGTTTATGCTATACCACTGTTGTATGCTTTAAAAAAAAAAAAAAAACTTTATAGGAAATTAGGGATGAGTTTTAATAATAAATTCTGGGGTAGTCTTGAGGGTAACTATAAAAATCACATTCTAGTAATTTATACAGAGAGCTACTTCTGTGACAGATACACTACCCATTACTTAAGCTTGCCCTATGCTATTTGATCTTTGTGTCAACTTAAGAATCTTAAATTTGTGGCAGAGACACTTGCCATGGGAAAATAGCCACATACACTATTAATTTAAATATTGAAATTAGGCCAATTAATGAGCCTACTGAGGCCCTTACAAGTTAAAATGAAAGGAAGTCACAGGTCTCTCACTTCAAATGAAAAGCTAGAAATGAGCAAGCAGGGAGGAAGGCAGGTCGGAAGCTGAGATAAGCTGAAAGTGAGGCCTCTTGTACCAAACAGTCAAGTTGTGAAAGCAAAGGAAACACCCTTGAAGGACATGGAAAGTGCTGATAGGAATGATAAGAAAGGGAAGGGGCCTGGCTGCCAGTGTGTAGACGTGTTAGTGGTCTGGTTGGATCAGACCAGCCCCAGCATTCCCTCAAGCCAGAGCCTCACCCACAGCTGGCCCTTACCAGTCCGCGGGGGCTGCAGACGGAGCGGGACTGAAAGTGAAGCTCAGGTGTAAGGAAGGACGTCACTGCTTTACTGTGGTCGGGAGCTGAACCGGCAATGTTTTTTATGGGGCCATGCTGCTCTCTACCGGCTTCTCTATCTGACCTTCCTCTTGGTTATTTTCATCTCCATCCTAGAGTTCCTCTTTCATCCTCTCATCCTGCTTCTGACAACAGTACATTTATGTCCCCGGGCCAATATTTTGGAGTTTTGTGATGCTCAGAGCCCCCCAACATGGGTGTTCACCCTTGTGTTCTGTGTGATTCAGTGAGAGAAGTGAGTCTAGGCAGCGGCCCACACCAGCAGAGTGGGGAGCAGTTTCTCTGACAAGTCTTGGGCCATTGCCTCCCACCAGTTCTCACTTCTGTCCTTCAGCTCATGGTCATGGGCGGGCATTGCTGAGGGCCATGTTTCCCACCTGACTCGTGGAGCCCTGACTCAGTGGCTGAGAAGTTCTCTGCATTGAGCGGGGCTGCATTATCATGGGATCAGCGTCTTAAAGCCGTTGCCACAAAACACCCATGGCCCCCCTCTTCTAAGTGGCACCAAACCTCGTTGAGAATCATGGGTAGAACAGGATCTGAACCTTATATTACCTGGTGTCAATCAAGCCCTTCTTTCTGCTAAGCAGCCCTGTAGCTTCCATAGACCCCTATGCAGACGTATGAACTAGGGCCTCAGAGGGCGTGCTTTGTCCTCTGAACTGGTGAGCACGGGAACGTGTCCGGCTGGTTCTGAGCACACAGGTCTCTCTCTGGGAGACTCCCTTTGCCCCAGATCTCCCAGCTCTCCCGGTTCCTTCTTGGGCTTCCACACTTGCCACCCATAGCCTGGTGGGCGGGGTCCCCGTGGATGTCGCATCTAATTTCAGACTAAATCACGTGTAGACTAATTTCAGTGTAGCCTTCTAAACTGGAGCTCGATGATTTATGAGCTTGGGTTTTGGAAGCAGACTGTCCTGAAGTCCAATTCTGGCTTTTTGCCCTTCAAGAGCTGTGTGACTTAGGGCAACTTACTTCCCTCTTCTGAACGCTAGCCACATCCTTGGTGAATGGATGGCATTGCCTGACCCGAGGAGCCGATTGAAGATTCGGTGCCATGTGTACAGGGAGCAGTGCCCAGGGCCCAGTGCACCGTGAAGGCTGTGTGTCTCCGGCGCCCAGTGGGCCTTTCCCGGTGACCGCCAAGCTCGGTGACACCGACTGTCCAGTCTGGGCAGAAGCCACACGCAAGTGGGTATTGAGCACTTGAAATACTGTGAGTGCAACTGGGAAATTGAACTTTTACTCTGATGTAAACTTTCATTCATTAAAATGTAAATCTAAATCCCTCTGAAGGTTAGTGAGGGACAGCACAAGACACTAATGTCTTGTTTTCCAAAATCAAATTTCTTATTTTTTATTCTAACCTACACCTCTTGTATTCTCCATGTCAACCCGTGGGAATGTCATTTTTTCAGTTCCCTGGCTAAACACCTTGAGTCATCTTCAATGTTTATCTCTCTTTCCTACACCACAGCTAATCCATTAGCAAACGATTTCCACTTTGTCTGCAGAACATATTTAGAAATTTGTGAGGACTTCTCATCTCTTCTACAGATACCACCCTGGTTCAAAACCCACCAGCATCTCTCCGCTGGCCTCCTTGTCTGCATGTTCGTTCTCCCAGAGCGAGCATCATACAGTGTGTCACTCCTGGTGAGAATCTCCTTTTGCTTCTCAGAGTAGAGGCCAAAATCTTTACCGAGGTCCGATCTGATCTTGCCCATGTCTCCAACATCTCAGCATCCCTTCTGGTTTCTTCTCCTCACACAAACGTTTCCTCCAACCACTGGCCACGGATGACGCAGATGTGCTTTCGCCCAGGGCCTTTGCTCCTTCTGTCTCGGCCTGTGATCACTTCCCTAGGAAACGCAGGCCCCGCTCCCTCAGCTCTCACTTCCTGCAGGTCTGTCCTCAGAAGTCGCCCTGGCAGTGAGTCATCCCCAGACCACAGTGTGAATCAGGCTGCACCCTCCCAGTCCCACTATTCCCCTCTGCCGCCCGCCCTCGTCACCAGTCCTGACGGACCGTTTATTTCCTTGTTTGTGTTTTTTTTATTATTTATCTCCCATGGGGAAGGAAGCTCCATGAAGGAGGGACTTTGCTTTTACAGCGCTCTCTCTCCCCATCACTCAATTAGGGCCAACAGGAGATGCTCAACAAATATTAGTTAAATAAATTCATTAATAAATTAATGGCTTCTTTTGTGCCCGCTGAACACCTTTTAATATCACTTAAGGCCTTTTATAATTCTGCTTCAATGTGTTTTTTTAAGCCCTGTTTCTTAAGTTCGGTCAGTCCTTTACTCAGTGCAGACATGGGCGGGGTGGAGGGGGAGTGTGTGTGACTGCAGAACATGCGTGTTTGACGTGGGAGTGAGGGTTCAGCCTTGTCCATGAGCAAGTGTGTGGGACACTCTGCTCCACCAGGAAATCCTTGCCCAATTCCAGTCAACAAACACACCTCGTTTTCCTCCTGCTGAGCAGTCTGCCCACAGGCAAGTCTGTCACAACTTGACCTGAGTTGTCTGAGGAACATGGCGCAGATTAGAAACAATTCACTTCAAGCGAGAGAGAGATAGTTTAACATAAATCAAATGCTCACAAAAGGAAAATGTGCCGGCAGCAGTGGGTTTCCGCCCTGGAGCAGTGACCCACTCCAGGAGATCTTTGCAGCAGTACAGCCTTTGTCACCTGCTGTGTGAATAGGAGCCCTTATTCTAACGCAGGGCTGCCTTTAGTCTTCATCTCTTCGACTGTTTCCTCACATTTCTGGCATTTGAATTGGTGCCATGACCCTAACCAGCTTGAGAGCCATCTTTTCAGCACCTTGGTTTTAATAGTGCCAGCTCAGCGCGGCTGCTGCTCAGCAGTCATGGCTTCTGAATGGCTGTTGTCTGAAATTCAGCTCTAAGTCTCTGGGCATCAGCACACTCTTGTCTGGGTGCTGCATCCTCCCAGCTCCCTTGGTCCAGTGCCCCCTCTCAGAAAGCCCCTGTCCTGGTGCTCGTGTGTGATGTGGGTCAGCAGGAAGAACTAATGAAGTGGGTGAGCTGGTGTGAAAAGCCAGAGACACGTGTTTTAAAATATTGTGAAAGGCGGGTGGTGTGATGCGTCTCTGCCTGTAGCAACTGGAAAATCACGATCCCCTGATTTCTGGTCTGTCAGTCAGCTGTCACCAGCTGTGAGCAATACTCAAGATCAAGCCCATCTGCTCCTCCCCCGCCTCCTCCTACACACTGCACTTTGAAAATGTCTGAAAAGAGAATTTTAATGTTTTTGAAGAGCCTTTTTTTTTTTTTTTTTTTTTAAAGTTTTGGTGACACATGACATGGCAAACAACGCAGAGTAGGCTCAGGGTCCTTTTTCCTGGAACTGACATCCTAGAATAGACAAGGGAGCATACATGATTCAAACAAGTGACCTGCAGTGACAAAAGCAGAAAGAAAAAAGTCAAACCAAGTAGGGTGATATGAATGAGTCGAGTTGAAGCTCCTTTGTGTGGGATGGTCAGGAGGCTGCTCAGAGAGGTAATGAGCCCTGAAAATGAGCAGAATGTGAGAGCCACATTTGGGGGCGGGCGTTGTGAGCTAGGAAGAGGGACTGGCAACTATAAAAGATCTGAGTGGAGACAGACAGCATGGCGGAGTGAGTGAAACTTACTGAAAGTGAAGTGCTACAAAACCAAAATTCAACCGAGTAAATGTTAGAGGTTTAATTAGCTTTATTAAATGATTCATGATTCGGGCAGCATCTATTCCAGGAGTTATACAAAATGGAAAGCTTTTCTAGAAAGGAAGGTTAGGCCAAAACCTGTTTGGCTCAGTGGTTAGAGCATCAGCCTGGGGACTGAAGGGCCCTGGGTTCGATTCTGGTCAAGGGCATATACCTTGATTGCAGGCACATCCCCAGTAGGGGGTGTGCAGGAGGCAGCTGATCAATGTTTCTTTCACATTGATGTTTCTCTTTATCCCTCTCCCTTCCTCTCTGTAAAAAAAAAAAAAAAAAAAAAAAAAAAAACAATAAAAATATATTTTTTTAAGAAAAGAAGGTTAGGCAAGGAAGTCATTAGCAAAAGAAAAATGAAAGTTCATTGGAGGAAATTAATAGATCAGGGTGACAACAATGCC